TTGTTGTTGTTGTTGTTGTTGTTGTTGTTGTTGTTGTTGTTGTTGTTTTTGTTTTTGTTTTTTGTTTTGTTTATGTTCTTCAAGGGGCCCTCCCCAAGGACTTTCATTTTTTAAAACAATGTTTAAGCTTAGGAATAATACTGAAAAATATACATGAAATACTGCAAGTACCAGTAAAAGTATGAAAAGGGTTGGTTTTTTGGAAGGGTACATATCTATATATATATGTGTATATATTATATATATACAGTACATATATATATAGATATATTGAGGGTGGTCATCCACTTTACGAGCCTGGAGCTTCACTTGATGTGGCGAAAGCCAGACCTCAAACCACAAGAGATGCCCTGCCCGACCGACACCTCCGTGGGTCTCAAGTAACCTCATCACCTGATCTGATGACTCCATGACTCGATGACTCGATTCGATTGGTGGATGTCTGGGGAAAGCTACAATGCTTCTTGGGATGCTATATCTTTCACCCGCAAACCCATCACAGGCATTCCATGTAATGGTGACAATTCCAACAAAAAAATAAGTTTCCAGGCCAGCCCAGAAGCACCAGAAGCACAGCCACGGTGAGGCATCCTGACCGCACAAGAGAGAATCCTCATGTTAGGAAAGCAGGTAAAACCAGGCGCAGTCTGCTCAAATTTATCATGTATGACCAAAGCAACATATCAACTACCCCAAGAGCAGCGTTGACTGCTCAGAGCGGATGACCACGCCGCAGCCGCGGCAACAGCCCAGCCAGCCAGCGCCCTGGCCTCCGAGGGACATCATCCTTGACTGAGGATCATGAGAATCTTCTGGCCTCGGTATCTCGAACATGCTGCCCGGTTGGTAGTAGGACGTGGTGGCGGGTCACCAGCATTTGTTGACCCACAAACCTGCAAAAAACCAGAGCCCAAAGCCTTGTTGTTGATCGATGGGCAGCCTCACATCACAGAAAGCTTTCTGGCCCTCTGGTCTGAGCTTCCCTGCAAGACAGGCTCTTTCTGCAAATATCTCACAGTATCCTGCTCCAGAACCAACAGTTCCAACAGTCACAGCCCCAGGATCGGACTCCAAAAGCGAGCTCGACCACGCGACCGATGCAGTCAGCCAGAAGGACCAAAGTCACTAGAGTCCCCAAGGCCAGAGGGGTGTCTCGTTCATCGGTCCATGTGTATCATTTATCGTCTTTGGAGCCTCTGCAGGCTGCCCATCGCTGCAGTTCAACGGGCTGGTCCAACAGGCATCCACATGGAAAGCCCGGCCTGAGGTAACCCACAAGACTTTGGGATATTTGGAAGCTCAGCACCGGCCATTCTCAGGACTTTCTGCAGGGAAAAAGCGCTCCAGTTCTCTCAATTGACTGAAGACTCACAATTCTGCAGCTTCGCAGCTCTTTCCATTGTCATTCCAGTTTGTCGGACTGCACCGCACAAAAGGATATCACACAATCTCTTCTAACACCTACTCTTAACATTCTTTAGAAAAAGTGCTTTCAACTGGAAGTAGTAAACACATGCAAACACCAAGAATCTCCTGTCCCCCTGATGGTGTGGTTTCACAACTTGTATTTTTTTTTGGTCCAGCTAACCGTTTCTGACAGGGCCATTTCTCGCCTTTGTCCAACGACAGTCTCAGCGGCCAGGGCTGCAGCAAAAGAGGCTGATCTGCCTGCAGCGCTGACTCGACTCCTTCCGCTCCCTGTCTGACTTTTGTGTGTTCGAAGACCTGAATGTTTGCAACACTTTCAATATGATGGGCATGCCAACTCGCCGAAAACCAAAAACCCTCAAAGCAAATCCGTCCAAAGACACTGTTTGGACTGTTTAGACAACCACACATTCACGAAGTGAGATCGTCTAGAGATTAGTGTACATCGGCCATGTGCACCTTAGACTGTTTGGTTGTTTTTTACTTGTTGAGCCTAGCGTCCCAAAGCTTTCCAGAGAGAAATGCTGCTATGGTTCGTTTGTGTGTGTTCTGCTCACCAATATTTAAGGCGACATGCCTGGCAAGCCTAGCTGATGGCTGGTGGAAGCGTTCTTTGAGTGTTCTTGCTGCGTTGTATAGCCCCCTTTTAACTAATGCAACATGAAAAGAACTATCCTAAGCGGTTCAATGGCAACAATAGACAAACAGTTCTTTAAGATCATGCCAGCAAAAGAACCGAACAGTTTCAGCTCCTTGAATTCCAATGTTCATGGAAAAGTATGTAATTGTACATGTTACATTATGTTTATTGTTATGGCCTCCAGCTGTTTGAGAGCCAAAAAAGGATTTCGGGGGAACAAAGCCCACGGCGCGGCCAAGTTTTTTTCCTAAGAGAGAACCCGAACAGGGAAATACAGTGATACAGGGCGGCACACACAAGCCTGGCCTCCCAGGCCTCGCCATGGAGTTGCTCCTCCTTCGTGGCCTGACGGGAGAAAAGACGAACGCTTGACCCCTATACGTACATGTGAAAATGATGTGAGTCATCACAAGGAATGGAGGTTCCGAACCTGTTCCTGTGAACACACGGTTCGCTGTTGGATGTCCTTGATGTTGAATGTCTTCATGTTTTTAAAGGAACGCTGTGGAGTCTTTGGACGGTTCCTGGATTCCTCCACCTCAAAGACGGCTATATTTGCCACCTGTACTGCCCTACTAGTAGTTTCTTGTTACTAGTAGCAAGGCCAGGAGCCCCTAGTAGCGTCCTTGCTCCTAGTAGCGATGCCCTTGTTACTAGTAGCTTCTTGTTGCTTGGTCCAAACTGTTTCAAGCCCGACAACGTATGGTGGCCCTCGCCTGCTGAAAGATCTGCTTCGTCTCTTCCTGTTGCTGCATCAGGGAGCTTGCCTGGTCGCCCACCAACAAAATGCTGCTGCTACACAACTCCTGAATTATCGCTGCAGCAAAAAAAGAAGAAACAACACTACTTACTTCCGGACATATTTAATCCCCTGTGCATCTTTGGACAGTTTACATGGTGCTTCCGATGACAGTGTCAGTCGTGAAGTCGGATGCACCTGCCAGCCCAGGTGGTATGCTGCTTCTTCTGCCGCCTTAGCTCTTAGCTCCAGATCAGTTGTTGATAAACCTTTGTCCTAATCTAGTCGCACATGGTGCAACAGTGACACAAACGCAGCACAAAGGATCCTTTAAATGCCTGAACGGCTACTGGGTACGGGGTGAAACCCAACATAAATCTGCCAAAGGATAAAGTCAGCAATGACGCGGAAACGAGAAGAAACTGCAGACTGAATTTCAGCTGAGGATTCACCCGAAACACAGTGTTTTAATGAAGATATTTCTTCGTAGTGTAAAGGCATATAGTGAAGCCTGATTACGATTCATTCTGTATCCTCGAGATATTGTAAGTCAGGACACTGGCTCGAAATTCACCACATCATCGTCTGTGGGAATCACCATCAAGCAACCTTAAAGGATGGTTGGACGCGTGGTTTAAATGTTGGTATTGTTTGCTGGTAGCTATCTGCTGGTATTATTTGTCTTGATATTGAATGTTGTTGAGTATTGATGTTCTTTTATCCACCAACAACATGACACATGAGAGCTCTCTGGGTCTGGGCTTGCTTCATCAACAAACTGATATGTGACAGCGGCCGTGAAAGGACACCAACTTGAAGCTTTTGGCTTTTTGGAGGACCTGCCGCTGCTTTGGTGGTAGCTATTCTTGTATGCTATTGCTGTAGCTTGGGCAGGGTTGCTATTTGAGTTTGGAAGGCTGCCTTTGGGGCTAAGCCAACCTAGTGACTATTAGCTTGTGTTCGCCGCAAAGGGTTCACCACGAGTAGTGTGCAGGCCCACCACCACGCTGAGAACGACGCCAGAAAGAATCTGCTATTACATTATTACATGCTATTGCTAGAACACAAGTGCACCGAATTTCAATGGTCTGCTGTGGCAGGAACGCACTGTCACATTGCTTGGAGTGAACTTGTCCCCTTCACACTTCCGCGTGAAGGAGGTCTCCTTCATGAGCCATTCCTCAGCCGGGGGATTGGTCGGTCCAACATCGCCATCATTGAAAACAACATGTAGACAGTATACAAATCAATGGAGCATACGTGCATGCACCAAATGAACGTGTATCTCCTTTGGTGTTGGTGGAATCCTCCCCTAGGCCCTATGGTAGGAACGTGTTCTTACCCCACGTAGAAGTTCTGCCTGTTAGTCTTGAGCTGGCTGTCTACGGTGTTTGAGAAAACCAATTACTGTATATACTCGGATTACCTCAGTATTGCAAGTGTCCTGTTGTGGGGGCTTGGGGGAATCGCCCAGCAGCCCTCTGCGCCCATCTTACCAGGGGGAAGGCTTCATTGCACGGCGATACCCAGTTCTCACAAGCAGAGGGCATCAACGGAAAGGCGAAAGGCGAACTGGCCAGTACCAAAAAGAGATTTGCCGGGCTCAAGATATCAGCAGCTCAACAAACAACAGAAATCAACAGAAGGTTGACAGAAAAGAAAAAGAGATCGCGTGGCTCACTGGAGCAACATGTGTCAGACTGGTGACAGGATGCTGACATTCATGCAGGTTGGACCAAACCTGAAACAGAGGTAGGCTTGATTCACTTGTGAGACCCAGTCATGGAGTCTTCTTCTCATCTCGAGAAGATTGATCGGTCCCAAGCTCTTGAACCCCCGAACCCGCATCGCCTCCACATTGCGTGGACCACATCGAGCCAAGCATCCAAGTGTTCGGGCCTTTCTTCTTTATCTTTATTGAGTCCTGTGAGTAATCTTACCTGAGCAAGTGCCAAGTTTTACCAGCAACAAGACTATTCTTTTTCCACTTGGTTGAGCTGGATTCATCGTGACTTTTTCGGGGGTGCACTGGGACATGCCTCAAGTCTTGATGATCTCGCCGGTTGAGCAGGATCTATTTGAATATCTGACCTCTACCGGCTCTGTCGGCTCTGTGTGAGGATGAAAACATCTGGGCATACCAAAGATTTGCTGCATCTTCCTGCATACCAAAGGAAGAAGAAGCCTATTGTCACGCTCAAGCACCACATGACTGCAAACCTGTTGTGTTTCAACGGTCCACGCCCGAACTCATCCCCGGTCCACTGCAGGGGTGGGGTAGCGGGCCGCCTGTCCGCCGGTCCGTGTTGCACCCGGGGATGAGGGATGCGTCATAGCCACTATAGACCATACCGGCCCTCTGACTGGAAACCTTGCTTCAATCTCAGCTCACATTCCCTAGTCCCCCAAGCCAGAATTCAGTTCCTTCCACACATGTCCAATCAAAAGGCCTGGTATGTCTGTGTCTGGTCGTCATAGCTGAGCACTTGAGCGATCTGCGTGCGGTTCACCACCACCTGTCGAGGGTGAATATCGATCCATCCATCATCAGCTTCATAGCCAAAGAGCCGAGTTTTCAGAATACAACAAACCAAACTGCCTGTGCAAGGATCCAAGGTTTCAAAGGTTGCAAGCTTTGATCAAAGTGAGACTTGTGGCACCATTCCACAATCAAAGAAAACCAAAACCATGAGAAGAGTTCTCCAAACACATCACGATCCTGTTCTGGAACGGCGAGAGTAAATCGATCCCAAAAAAATCCCAACCGATCGAAGCGACCCTCAATGACCGATGACCCTGTGTTCCCAAATAAGTCACCCTTCGGTGTGGGGGAGGTCCAGCAACCTGGGACACAGACTATCCAGTGCCGACCAAAAAAACACAACGGAAACGGTCGAAACCATTCCCCACTCAATCGGTCGCAACGAAACGACCCCACCGGCCAGTCGTTTCAGCACCGTAATTGGTAAACTAAACTTCTCCGGACGACTTCTTCGTGCACTTCTTTTCAAAAACTGGTTGTACAAAGCCACACTGGCCGGCAATGGATGCGCCCACGGGGCCCGCACCCACCCATGGATGATCCGATCGCCTGGTCTTTGGGTTGGAAAACCTCCGGGAAGCCCTTCACCACCAGTCTCATTGGCTGTGTACTGTCCTGCTGCAGACACCTCAGAAAGGCATTGCATAGCAGCATAGCATGATCCACTGAGAGATGTCTGCAAACCTAGTGCCAGTCTTCCAGAAGTCAACGGTCCAAACCAGGCGTCCGACCTGTAGTGGACCAGGCCGTCTGCAGAGAATGTATTCACCACTATAGAGCCACCTCAACCCACTGATGGCAAGTGTTGAAGAGGAACATTCCACTTCTGATATGTAAAAATACAGTCCTGCTGGCTTGAGCCAAAGAAGATTCGAGCTCCCTGTTGAAACCATCCCTTCTCTGGTAAGTGGCTCCGCTCCTGCAAGCACAAACTGAGGACTGAGGTTGCAGCTATCTTTTTCGATGACCTGAACTGCAAGCAAACAAGATCCTGGATGGCCGAAACTGCACAAGTTGCACAACACAAGTTGCACAAGTTCCACAAATGTATACGACAATATCCAAACGTCTCACGGTCTCACTCTCCAAAACGACTAGTTCAGTCCCAGCTTCATCAATCCCTGACTCATTGGAGCAACTTGCAGCATTCATCCACGCGCACTGTGGGAGTTCCGCATCCTCGGCAAATCTGAGAAACACTTACCTGAAGCGGTGGAGTTCTCAACCCAGTCAGCTGTGCATGCATGCTTTTCTGCATAGCATCCATTCAGAATTCTGCATACCTCCCTTGAAAACATGTGAAAAGGCTCCGAGGGATGACACTAGCGCCGAAGAAGGGAAAGGTCGCAAGGGAGGTCTGAGTGACTAAGCCAAGACATCGTGCAAAGGATTTGATGTTCGCAGGTGCCGATCATGCATGCCAAATCAAATGTAGAAAGGCAGTTGAAATAAGGATGTGAAAACGGTGACCCTTTGTGTATCATACAGATTCTGCCCATCTCCGTGTCCCCAAAACTAGAAAATCCTGACCTCTCACCCAAACATCTCCAACACTCCAAGCAGCCCATGTCTCCATGTCAGCAGTCAGCTTCACCGGCGAAGCCGCCTCGTCATGGCGAGTTCCACCCTGTTCCGGTCAGCCTATGGTGAATGCCGACGCGTGGAGCTACAAGACTCTTCTCGAAGCTCCACCACGTCAAAAACCTCTTGCTGCCACCGCAATCCCATCCAAAGAAACACCCGGAACGCCCAAAAAACCAGGGACACCAAGACCTCAGACTTGGCCAACGCTATCTCCTCCGGCTTGAAAGCCAGGCGACGGTGCTGCTGGAAGAACTCGAAGCGACCTTCCAAATACCCCCGTCACAAACGAGCTCGGAAACTCCTTTCCTTGGCCGCACGGAGAGGTTGCTGCCCAAATCATCCGCACCGATGTTTACCTTGTGCAAAAGAAAACAATAGAAAGGTTCCTAGCACTGCTCCTTTTTCCCATCAGGAGCTTGCAGTGCTCGAGTTCTGCCAAAACATGCAAAAACCATAGTTGTCCAAAAGTTGTGTTCTTGGATATGCTGTGGGTGAGGCGACCAAAACCTGAAGATACCTGAACGGGAATTCGTTCCGTTCTGCAAAACTGGACTTTTGCAGGAATTGGCCGGAAGGCGAACGATCACACACATCCAGCTGCTCTGATCGCACCAAGGGGCGGGGTAGAGTAGCCTTCGCGACATTTGAAGCGCACCGTGTCCCCGAAGTTCTCTTCATAGAACCTCGGAGTCGAGTCACCCGATGCCCGCACCGTGTGTGCCGGCATAAACGCATGGGTGATCATCGGTGGAGGGTGCGTGATCTGCTTAGATCCGCTGACTGTCAACAATCACGCTGGTGCCCTACCTTTTCCTGGTGGGGTAGGGCAAGCTCCGGATGACTCAGCGGGTCATCTGCTCAGACCAGCGACGTGGTATCTTTCGGGAGGTTCCAGTCGTGGCTGCAGTTCTTTTTGCCTTCTTTCTCGCGCTGACGGCGAGCCAAGATCGCCTGACAGGTCGGCTCAAGATCCCGTGGGTGCCTTTCAACAGGACGGCCGCAGGTTGCACGTCCTAATATTCAAAGTGGCTGGACAGCCAAGAGCCTTTATCTTCAACATTGCACACCACCATCTCTCCCACGCACTAGGACAATGTAACTTCGTTGACAGCCCTTGTTACAAGTTCTGTATATATTTGGGCTCATCAAACTCACGCTTATAGATACTAAAAAGCTGTGTTGATGCATATCCCAGGTCAACTCATCAATGCAACATGTAGTGATGCATGATACACCTTGCTAGGTATGCTGTGCACATCTTTTGCAACCAAAGTAAGAACCTAAGTGCAGTCTTGCGAAGCGGCCCCAGAACCACTCCTCCTTGCTGAACATCTCCAAAACGATCTCATCCCGCTCTTGATGAGTCCTCACCACCTGTCACGGCACCAAATGAGGTGAGGGCACGCTTGCCTTTGCGGGTTCCGCAGCGTCGCCAGGTTCCGCAGCTTGTTGTGGCGAAATCTGACAACTGGAATTATCATGTCCAACCACCTCAAGCAAATATGATACTATGACTACATAATTGCATGATATTGCATGCAAATACTGGCACAAAATTCCACAAAGATGGATCGTTTACGGCTCCCTCTTCAAATCAAGAGGTCCAAATGTACCAATGTAGCAGTACTGTACAGTGTTTGATTGAGGTTCTTAGCTGATGTCTAGAGGACTTCAACAAACGCATGTCGTTGCCCAAGTATACTCTGGTAGGCTAAACTACTCCTGCTCTGTCATGAAGACCCCTCGCTCTCGCTGTTGGGTAGAAATGACAAATTATCTGTAAACCCAGTTGGTAGGCACCTGCACATCTCCAAGGCTTTGCCAAGCATGAAGTCCATCTTCATCTGTGCACTCAACCCCATAGCAGTAACCTCAACGCCCCAACAGCCAGGGTGGAAACAGCCCCAACGTCTCAACGGGTGACAACCGGAGAGACACTCTGCGTCCCAGCGGCACACTTGATACCAATTTGCATCACCTCATCTGCGAGTCTCCGAGCAAAGGCAAAAAAGGGAGCGAAACAGAAATCACAAAAGCTCTGAGCACCCTACCCAGAGGTACATCAATCAGGTACACATATTCCTTCTGAGAGGCCTCAGAGAAGTGGACATCCTTGAACACCAATCAGCAATTGTTATCCCAGTATGGAAAGCATTGTCTCAGCATTGCCAACCACACACATCTCTGGTTCAAGTGCTTGTGGACTTGGCAGCTCTCTGAAAGCCCCTTGGGAAGCAACACCAAAGGTCCGGTCTTGGGCTTCGAAACAATTACAACCACTCAAGATTACTCGATCAGTGCAAGGCGAACCATCGTGAGTGCAAGTCCTCATAGACTTTCTACCGGGGGTGACATATTCCTTGGTGAATAAAAACCTGATCTACGACACACAATTCACACGATTCCACTCACAACCAGCCCAAGGTACTGTCTCAGGAATGCGTATCTTCAATGCCTCTGTGCCGTTGTTGCCCTTTGCCCGATCTCGGCAAAGAGAATCCTGTCAGTCCAAGCGCATAAAAAATGGGTGTGGCTCCTCTGGGAGCACAAATGGCTTTCATATTCCCTTTTGGCCTTCACAAAATGGTTCGGACTTCCTTCTGCTGTGCGGGTGTATGTCGCATGAAGCCTAGCATCCTCCACGCTGTTTCCGCATACTCAAAAGTAGTAAGTAAATGTAAGTATATAGTACATACTGCATGGTTGCGATGGTAGCCTTCATCGAGATGGCAGGTTGCAAACTTGCCTGAATAGTGGTTCACAGCTCCATGTGAAGCTCGACTGGAAGAGAAGTGGACTTCGCAAGAAACCTATATATACAAACTATCATCATCTATCATCTGGTGGACAGCTTTTACCTTGGGATTGATTCTGTGATCAATTTGTGGAGGTTTCCTAGTTTGAGTCAAACCCATCTCACATCACACAGAACTCAGATGTGTTGGCGAAAGACTTGGACCACGCCTGCATGCCCTTTTCTGGGAGTCGTTGAGATGAAGGGAGCGGAATCAAAGTGATCCGCGCAAGCCTAAGTGAATCATGCAGGAATAGTGGACTGTGGCCTCCAACCTACTAGCGATGGCCTCCAACCTAATAGATGGCCTCCACCCTAATAGCAGCAACAACAACAAAAAAAAAAAACAACAACAAGGTGAACCAGACCCATCGTCCGTTGGGATGTCCTTCGTCCATAGTTGAATGCATGGAGGATGATGATGATTTGAACAGCAATTCTTTTCGCGCAAAAACGCAACACGGCACGGAGCAGACCTGACCTGCTTCACCTTTATAGTGGTCCAGTGGTCCAATACATGCCTCCTAGTAGCGAACCTTGTTCCTAGTAGTAAGGCCAGGAGCCCCTAGTAGCGCCCTTGCTCCGTTCGTAGCGATGCCAGGAGCCCCTAGTAGCTTCTTGTTCCTATTCTTAATGATATTGGTGGGGATCTACTGTTCTATTTGGGATTCCACCCATCGAGTCAAAACCCGTGGGCGTTTTGCGCTGCTGTTCTTCCCCTCCACTCCTCTGAGCTCGAATCTGTCAGACTGACAGTGGTGATACGAGTAGATGGCACTGGCACCCCAAGATGACTTTCTTCAATACGAGTAGGGGTCCATATAAGTCATATAACCATATACCTTTTGGGGGTTGTGCCATCATCTACTCTACATCCACTTTTTGACAGTACTAACAGTCATGACAGGGGACCGTACGATCAGCTACGACAGCACAAAACCAACAGCCGGGCAACTGGTGCCGCAGGTCTACATGAAGGTCACAGCCTTGGATGGCCAAGGACTGCTGCGCACCCTGGTTGATCTGCACCACCAACGGCTCGAAGTCCTCCAAAAGAGATTGAGTGAGACATGGCGACGGCCACTCATATTTGTGCCATATTATATCATATTCGTTCATATTCTTTGTGAGAACAGAAGATGGTGAGACAGAAGAGATTCTGTCGTCTTTCTCCGAATCATTCGCCCGTCAACAAAAACGATTGGACATTCGCAATGGGATCATGGTCTCGTACGAACACTGATCTCATCTTTTCTCCAAAAAGGCAGGAAATCTTTTTGATTGCGAGTGGGACGGACGGCACTGCATGGAGACGACACATGCCACCACGACGACCAGTTGTACATTCTGTATTATTCTCCACACAGCAGCAAAGGCTCAAAAGGTATTGAATCCAGGAGTCCAAGGAGTCAAAAAAATGTAAAACCATGAAGCAAATCACATGTTGGCAGCTTTTTCATCGCTGTTGAAAAAACGCTGCGATCAAAAACCGCTGGTCCTGTTCCGTGTATGGCCCAGGAGACATCGGCTTGTCACACTCGATGCCAGTCCAGCAGGGAGAGCAAGAACAATGATTTCCCATTTTCTTTCCTCGGAAGATCGTGACCATGACAAAGAAGCAACACAATGTAATAATGCTAAGGGCCAAACAATGGCCATACCAGGTCATACCATCTGGAAGGGTCGTTTCTGATGGCAGCTTCTACGCTCACCATGTTGGTGACACCTTTCAGCTCGGCAGAAGCCGCGAAGAGCCAGCTTGACCGTTTCTTGAAGCCGGGCATCCGTGGACACACTTCAACTCCTCGGCAGAGTTTCTGCTCTGGAAATGATCGGCTTAGAGACCGCCCAGTTTGTCTTTGTCATTCTGTGTCTGTCACTGGAGAACACACACAAAACAAAGAAACACAAACGCGAACACGTCACTCCATCAACTCTGCGGATTTTTAGACAATGTCTACCATTCGTGTCAACCAGTTTGTTCTCATCCCTGAGCGGTGAGACTTGAAATTCAACTCTCTCGGTCGCACCTCGAACTTCAAGATGTGGACTTCGTTGACCTCCTTAGAGTTGAGTTCATTTCTTGCGTTTGTCTTGTTAATCTGGTCTTAACCCACTGGTCCCTATCTTCCCTTTCAAGCTATCTCAGTGTTCTCCAATCATCATCCGAAGCTTCTGCTAGATGGTGAAGATCCGAACGTCCGTCTTTGATCAAACAAGATGACAGGTGCGACACAGGGGAAGAAAACAACTAATCACCTTTCCAACCATAGCCGTTCTTCAAAATAGGAAGATAATGTCCATCTTGTGGGCAGGTCATCTGCAATTATCTGCCATGTTCTGCAACCAAGCTTCCTTCGAATGCACCTGAACGAACGCCTCTGCGTCCAGACCTGGCCGTCTGAATCCCTGCGAAAAGAAGGCAAAAGTGCGTTGAAGACCCAACTGCTTGAATCAATGTGGCAAACATGTCAACACCGACCACTTACTTGGGCTGCTATCGATTGATCCCGTTTCGCTGCCTTTGAATTCACTTTCGATGTTCATGGCTTCCTCCTTGAGCTTCTGGACTTCTCCTTCCTGACGGAAAAGGATGCGGGCTCTGTGAGACCAGCCCCGGTAGAAAACGCCACCTGACAAGCTGGCATCTCTCTACCTACGTCCAAAAAGAAGAGGGGCTTTGGCAAGACCTACCTACCTCTTGCTTATGAAGTGAATGTCCGGCCCAAAAAGATTTGGCATGGCATCTTGCCTCATGGTGTTACATTATATTATGTTACATTAACTCACCTCTCTGCCCATCGATGCTCGTTACATCCTTGGTGCCCCCGTTGGCCCGTCCTTGGGAATAAAGTAGCGCAGTTCGTCCTGTGAAAGGAAGCTCTGCTGCTCTTCATCTGGCATGGCTTGGAGGCGTCGTCAAACCCAAATGTGAGGAGCTGTGACGCATTGTGACGCAACTTTCAGAATCATGTCAAGTGATATGATATATCTCAAGAAGACTCGAATTGAGTTTGGATATCACAAGTTAGGAACTCCTTTGGAAGCTACAAATTCCTCCCAGATCATTCGGATGACCTGGCAACACTCCTTCGTAAGCAAACCCTTTCTCAACACTCTCATTCCGCAAAACGCTTTGTTCCAACCCGGCACCTGTGGCTAACGAGGAGATGTGAAGCCTTCGGGATGTGAAACAAATCAAGCACCAGCTGTTCTGATTGGCACATCTTGGCACCCTTCTTGTGTGTCACAATGATTGGCTAAGCACCACAATGTGGACCAAGAATAGCTACGATCATCGACCAGCCATGGACAGCTTTGTCATAGTTTCACATACCGACCGAGCCGACCGAGCTGACCGAAGCTGATCGTCTGGATGACTCGGTTTTTCTAATGTCGAACAAACTGCATCCGAGCGGCATCAAGACATTGCCCCAGAGCTCTGGAGTGTAAACGAAGCCTTGATGTTCAATGGCCTGTCAACATCTGTCAACCGAGTGGTCACAGATTACTTTGTGATCCTTTTGCACCTCTGCAGTCTCCTCCTGGTTGCTCTGATTTCACCATGCTTGTTATTTAGGGCTGAATCTCAATCACCTACATTCCACCTACTACAGTCATTCTCCAGCGGATAGAAGATTCTGGAACACAAAATGATCACAAATGCATACCAATGTCCTCTTGCTACTCGAGATGTTTGATCTGAAAACGCATCATTCCACAAAGCCCAATCCATTCTACTCGTCCCCCATGGAAAAACGGGAAGCTCTTGTGATGTGAGACCATTAACGGGCCTTGCAAAAGTCCTCGGTCTTGTAGAAGTTCACGTGCTTCGACCGCAGCAGGGCGAGCTTCCCGGCCTCGGCTCGCGTTGTTGTTCCCCGTTGCTCAATGGCCCTGCGCCGTCGAATTCAAGATGTTCGGAACACGAATCTTGTTTCAGGATGTTTCAGGTATTGGTGGCAAGTCACGTTGGAAGGCAATGTCAAATGTTTTCGTCGCTCTAAATTTTGGTCAAGGTCTTTGGATTGTCCGATGAGTTTGGATATGCATGTGATATGCATGGGGGTGGGTGCTCAAGGGCATCACTGTGAGCCACAGAATTTGTGCAAGCTCCAAGGATGATTATGTGAATTCCAAGAGGTTGTCTAGATTATCATTCCATGTTTGGTGAAAGAGCTCGGATCCACAGGACAACTCGTAAACCGTTGAACCGTCAGGAATCTGCAGGGTTCCTCCTCCCTTGCCAAGAAGCCCGATCCAGCCAGGTCTGTGAGTGCTGATACCACGGGTCCTGACACATGAAATCTCCGAATCAGTGAAGACAAACAAATCAAGCTCCGGGTAAGAAGACCCCTAGGTCAGGCTGAAGGCAGAACCGTTAACCTCCACAGTCAGCTGAAGGCACCCAATGAGGAGTTGAAAGGGCGTGGTCCGATGGTCCGATGGATCCTTTGCGGCTTTGTGGGCTTCGCCGTATTCTTGCGAGAAACGCATCATCCCAGCCTCACTCTGGCCCTTCTTCAGAAGATCACGTGCGTGGAGGAAAGCCCTGCAGAACCAACTCAAGTCTCAACAGTTCATGAGAATTCCATTCTGCCAAACAAAGAGTTATACTGGGGAAGGTTGCTCTCTTCCACCATCTTTGAAATTGACATCGCTAGGAAAAGAGCCTCAAAGTAAGGGTCTGCCAAGAAAAAAGCACGCCTCCCGGCTTCTTCTAGGCGTTGCGGCCTTGGGTGATGAACCAAGGCAGACTTCCACTTCTTGGACAAAATGAGGAAGGGATCCACCAAATCATGCTCGAATATGAACTCCACTCTTTTCTGCTACCGCAAGCAGGATTCCCTCAGTCGTCCGCGGCAGGAACTTTGAAGGAGGCTCGCCAAGCCAGTTTCGGGACACATTTCGGTGTCAGTGCACCTCCTGAACGCACGAGCGTCTCAGTTTCATTGGTCCCATCTGTGTTCGTGATCCTCAGCTCCACCGTGGCCGGGAAACCGAGGCGATGTCGTCTTAAGCTGTCTGTAGTTAGCCGTGGCTTCCAATCCCCAAAATCCCCAAGGAATACAAGACACTGACATCGCCAAGAATCTGACATCGCTCGAGGCACAGGTACTCGGATTTCACCAAGGGCCGGGATGCGAAGTAGGGATTCACATCTTCATCGGTCATGGTTTCCATCAATCTCTCTCCATTTTCATCGGTGTTCCCTTTGTCAGCCTTGTAGACCTGGAATCCGTCAGCCTTTTTGGACACCCGGACACCCCACTGGACACCCCACCGGTCAGTCCGAATGGACTCCCACCCCATTTCGAGGAACCGAAAGGGCCTTATTTTGGGCTTGGTTCAGCTCAATATGCTCCATTCTTGGCTGGCAGTTGCAACATTTGCAACCATCAGTTTTGTTCTTCGCCAAAGGACTCTTCTTCGCTGAAAGGACTCTGTGTTGTACCACTTACACGGACCGGCATAAAAAGAAATCCCAACCGGGGGGTTAGATCGATCACAAAGAAGTTGCCACGACCAAATTTGCAAGTTCCCACGGTCAAACTGCGAGCGTCAAAAAATAAGGGAGTCCCAAACAAACATGCCTGGTAGGCACAATTTGGAGCTCAATTCAGGTTGGTTGCGTTCGGCCTTCCCTTGCTTTATCAACAGCTTGAGATTTCACCAAGCTGCTTCTCCAGATGCAATGCATGAATGCAAGCCAATGCTTCGATCACGCCACTTGCTTCCAATCAGCTCAGGTTCATCAGCATCGTTGCATTTCGGAGTGCAACACGTGCCCAACGCGCGGCCGAAGACGTGCACGCACGGGAGATCCTGGTCCTGTTCGGAAGAACAACATCGGCGCTCTTACCCAAGCCACAAAGACCTTGACCTACCTGACCCGATCCCTCGATGCAATTGAAGTGGACGGGTCAGGGCAATGAATTTGCAAATGTTTGTTTGTCTCTGCGACAACACGCGGGCCATACCACCCAAGAAGATAACGAAGACGTTCTT